ACATATATGTCCCTTTAGGGGCTTCTAGGAATTTTGCATTTTGGATCATTTTTTGGAAATAATTGGTCAAGACACGATTCAAGACCAAGCTTATTACAGAGTTAAACTCCTTCGCATCCTTGGGATGAAATATTGGTTAGGTACAAAAGCAGCAGTATTTCAAATGCATCTATTTCATCTGCAAAAAAAAAAAAAAGAACAAATGCAATATCTGCTTTTGCTCGCATGGATCTCTGTACCACTATGAAGTTTTTTTTTTTTTTGATTCCTCCCCCAACTGCAGCAGCCTACTCTCTTCTACATTCAAGGCAAGGCATGTGGCATCTCAAACAAGTCAACTGTTTGTATCTACAGAGCCACCGTGTTTACACTTTTGGGGGCAGCTTGCTTGCTGCATATTAAGGAGAAATTATTTCAACATCCAAAAATGACACGCTTCACCTTTAACTTTCGAAAACCAGCTAACATAAAGTCACTTATCTTGTATCATTTTAAGCAAGAGAATGAGATTAAAGTTGGCATCATATGGCAACAGAGATAGATGCCAAACTGATGGAACTCAAGTTGTTTATAACCTTGAACAAATCTTTCTGCACGAGTATGATGATCTCAAAGGCAGCTCCGTGTTTGAAGGGCATCAGGTAGTGGATCTCCTCTTTGCCCCAGCGCTCCTTCTGCAGTGTGTTACAGATGATGTAGGGAGACCGCTTGAAGCGAGGATTAAAATGAAAGGCCACGTCTGCCCGAGGCTTCATGCTGCTCCCGCAGGTCAGGTCAACCTGAAATCTACAAGACATTTTACTGTTTATCACTGTCTGGACTGGCTGTGGACACAATTTAAATGTGCTATAAATACATAGCAGGCTGTTTCTTCAACTTGCACTAACTAACAAATTTCATCTTTATCGTTTTTGTTATATGGTTGCTAACCATCTTGCAATTTTTCGTCATGCCATCATTATTTATTTTTGCAACTTTTAAAATAAGTTTAAAACTTTAAAAAGGTTACAGGCAGTTTTTTTTGTCCCTTATCCATGAATGATCTAACAAAGAATGAAATAAACTTAATTTGTGTGTGTGTAAATTATTTACACTTCTCACAAATGTTTACTGTCCCACAGTTGTTTTGCAATTTTCAACATGACCAACAATTTGAACAAGCATTTTACAAAGAGTATTTTGTTTGGTTAACACAGAGACAACAGCATTAAAGAGGAGCATGCTGGAGATGAGATATCAGACATATATTGCATGAAGAAAAGAACATTTTGTTTGTTAATAATAATAATACATATTTTAATGTATATCTTTAAGTCATGCAAAAAGTGGAAAGTTAATTAATTAATATAAACATAATAATATACATTAATTGTCTATATTTAAGATACATAAAATGTTAGCCATGATTTAGGCAAAAGAGACATTTTATTCCAAAAGTGTTTAAATGTTAACAAACATGAAAAAAAAAAAACTTGAATATGTATCATTTGAGATGGATAAATTGTAAATTTGTTGCTTTAATCATGTTCCAAAAAGAAAAGACGATTCTGGTGATGCATTTATGTGTACAGTAAAACACTTATTTAATTAATAATCAATGTAATTTTTTTTTTATTACTACTAATGGGTATGCAAATAGTGTTTTAAGGGCCAAAACTGGCCATAAAGAAAGTCTGGTGCTTCTATCATCTTTTAATTCTATTGATATAATATTTCCTGCTTGAGTAATGTCTGCATGTTTATGTAAGGCTGAAATTGGCTTGTTATTGAAATGATTTCTTCCGCTTCCCATGATCATGATCCCTTCCTTGAACCAACACGGAGTTGACTTGAGCCAAATAATGACACTATTGTCTTTTAAAGCTGCTTTACAGCAGAATCTGTCTCATGTTTGCGTAACTGATTCTGATGTTTTGCTGTTTATCTCCGTGACCTGTATTGTTTAAAGCGCTATAGAAATAAGGGTTACTTGACCTCACATGTTACAGTGGGACTGCAGTGACATTTGTGACCCTGGAGCACAAAACCAGTCATAAGTAGCACGGGTATATTTGTAGCAATAGCCAAAAATACATTGTATGGGTCAAAATGATTGATTTTTCTTTTATGCCAAAAATCATTAGGAGATCATGTTCAATGAAGATATTTTGTAAATTTCCTACCGTAAATATATCAAAACTTAATATTTGATTAGTAATATGCATTGCTAAGAAAGGCGATTTTCTCAATATTTTCATTTGTTTTGCATCCTCAGATTCCAGATTTTCAAATAGTCGTATCTATGGTCCTATCCTAACAAACCACACATCAATGGAAAGCTTATTTATTCAGTTTCAGATGATGTATAAATCTCAATTTAAAAAAATTGACCCTTATGACCTATTTTTGGGGTCCAGGGTCACATTTAAGTAGTGTTGCTTTCGTCAACGAAAATTATGACTAAATATTGTCGTCAACGAACCTTTATCACGTGACGAAAATGAGACAAGATGCAACGTAAATGCTGGTCATGTGACGATGACTATAATTAAATGTATAATTCAATATTGTTGACGAATAAAAACGAGACTAAATGTGGTTTACAAAATAAAAACTATGCTAAAATGTCTCTTCATTTTCGTTGACCAAAACGAGACGAAACGAAATGTTATAACGTTATAATTAAAATTTTTAAAAAGCTTATAAAATATAATTTTTTTATGGAATTTGACAAAAGATGACATACTTTTAATAAAGTTAGAGGAGTCAAATATCACCTCGTAATGGGAAGGCTACTTTTTGATAAAATTTTGGATAATTGTTTAGAAGGTGCTCCTAAAATTTTGAACGTGCTCCTAAATGTCTGACTAAAATAAGACTAAAATGCTCAGACTTTTAGTTGACTGAAACTTGACTAGACTAAAAAGAGTATGAACGTGACTAAAACTAATAAAAACTAAAATGACAGCTTCACACAAAGACTAGACTAAAACTAAAATTAAAACAGGCAAATTGGTTTGAAACCAATTCAAACCTTTGAATCGCTCACCTGTCAGAATCACTGGGAACACTGCCCTGAATGAGCACCATCTCTCCGGGTTGAAGTCCGCCCAGGATGGTACCAGCATAAGGAACCGTCTACGGGCAGAAATTAAAATCATGAGACACACTGACTTCAGTATGCCCTGCCTTATAGGTCTACAAGATATAACCACTTACGCGTTCATCCCTGCAAAACAGATCAAGCATTAACAGATAAACAGATGAAGTCTAAATTAAACTTGTCAGTCTATGTACTAGAAGCCACTGACCCATTAGCAAAAAGTGTAAGTAGAATAAATCTTACTGGATTCATTATTGTTTGTTTCGGGTTTGCGACAGACATATTGGCGGTGCTGTTCAGAAAGTCTTTTTATATGCTGTTATTACGAGTTAATCACCAGTTCAGGAAGAAAATATAAACGCACTTTCACTTCCGCATGTGAGAATGACGCATTCAGTAATATGAGCGCGACGCGTTCAGTGACCAATCAAATTCGACATGAGCGCGGCGCGTTTAGTGACCGCGACGCGTTCAGTGACCAATCAAATTCGACATGAGCGCGGCGCGTTTAGTGACCGCGACGCGTTCAGTGACCAATCAAATTCGACATGAGCGCGGCGCGTGTAGTGACCAATCATTTGCTATTTGAGCACGATACGTTCAGTGGACTAACTAGGGGCGGTCTCAGAGCGCCATATATTTACTGAACTATCACGGCGCTATTTCTGTAGTGATGTTTTATACTATTTTTCATTATTTGTATGGGTGCCGGCGCATATTGGTATCCAAGGAAATGAAACTGCAGATAAAGAAGCAAAAGAAGCAGTCAAAAACAACGACATTAACTTAATTGTTAATCTAAGTAAGAATGAAATCAAGAGTATTATTAAGAAAAGAGGAATCAGTGGAACACGTTATGATGATATGTACAGCATATGAAAGAGAAAGGGATCGACTTAAAGATGAATTACAATCCTTAGGAGTTAAAGAATTTTCATTAAGTAGTATTCTGAATGATGGTCCAAATGCAGGAAAACAAATAAGTGCAATCATGAGATTTCTTAAGAATTGTGGAATAATGAACAGAATTTAAGATTTAGGTGAGAAATGGTACGTTCTCTTCACACTCCATCACAGTAGGTGGCGGTATGCACCTATGAAGTTGGTTCGCAACCCGCCATAAAACCAAAAGAAGAAGAAGATCCTTTCAGACAGATACTGTTATAACCAGGATTCGTATAGGACACTCTAACCTTAATTATTCATTGCATATAATAGGAAAAAGTGAGTCAGATAGCTGCAGTTACTGTGGAATAACAGAAACAGTTGAACATCTGCTTTTACATTGTGAGGCATATAATAGACAAAGAAAGCAACTTCTTGAAAAACGAAGAGATATGGAAATCAATGACATTTCAGTTATGAATATATTTCAGAATGCACAGAAACATCTAAGGGTTTATGGTTTTCTTCTAAAATATCTGAGAGATACAGATTTGATTAGAAGAATTTACCGGTAGTTATTTTATTTTTTTAAAGTTTTTTTTATTAGTATATGATATATTCGTTCATCGAGGCCTCACACTCCATCCCAGTAGGTGGCGGAAATGCACCTTAAGCTGGTTTGCCAACCGCCATTTTTTATTAGTAGTATATAATATATTCGTTCAGCGAGGCCTCACACTCCATCCCAGTAAGTGGCGGAAATGCACCTTAAGCTGGTTTGGCAACCGCCATTAAACACAAAAGAAGAAGAAGAAGACGACTATTTTTCATTCGAAGATGGAAGATATCTTTAGCAGGAATGAGACAAATGCAGTGAATACGTAATACAAATTAAATAATATTTGTCCATGTTTGCATGCGTAGTCCTTGAATTAATGATATCACTTTTTACCCCTTTCATGTATAAAGAAGAGAGGATTTTCTCTTACAGTGACAGATTAATATGGGTTTCACGTGAAGTTGAATCGGAGCACATGACACGGAAGTCACGTTAACGTTATCTGCACATTCTAAACGTTCCTCGTGACAAATGTCATCAGTCGTTCATACAAACGCCCATCTAAACATGCTAACACACAATCTGCTGTTCACCATCTCCTGCTTGCTCGGGTGCTCTGCTGAGTTTTATGTTATAGATGATCGGATTGGATTAGGGAGAGAATTTGATGGAATAGGTGGATTAAGTGGAGGAGGAGTAAATTATGCTAACTTTTTAAATGTTACTATTTGCATACTGTCAAAAGTTGTGTCGGTGGTTGCGGGTGACTAACTTGCTTTCGTTCTCAGGCCACTTCACGACTTCTTGTCAACTATGAAGAACCGTATCGGAGTCATATACTGGATTTCTTGTTCAAGGTATTGGGTCACAAGTGTGGCTTTTAATTATGGACATGCATTGAATAACCGGGTGTGTTGTTATAATGCGGGTTTGTTTTTATTCAGCCCAACTTTGGAGCTTCATTGCACATCCTAAAAGTAGAAATAGGAGGCGATGCTCAAACCACAGGTAATGCGAAGTGTCTTTCTTTCTTTGTTTCTCTTTCTATACTGTCTGTCTATCTTGTCTGCATCTATTCATATATTTAATAATACATTAAAATGCAATTAATACATTCAATACACCCCTTCTACGATGAGCATGTTTTTGAATTAATAACATTTAATTCAGATGGAGCATAAAGTAAAAAAAAAAAAAAGTCTCATTCAAAGAAAAACTTCATCAAAATAAAGATATGATTTAAAAGATTACGTAGTATTTCAAAGAAAACAATAGTTTAACAAAACCTGTTCACTGGTTCTTTAAAAAACTTTTTTTCCGGAATCATTGTCACATGGTGTGAGTCATGTGATACAAACATGCTGACAAAAAAACAAACAAAAACAGGAAATGATATTATAAAGATATTACATATAAAACAGATTATTTGACCTTTTAATGACAAGGCAAGGTTAATTCAGATTGTAAAATTCCATGTGATGTGACTCCCCAAAAACATAAAATGAAATAATAATTAATAATTGCAAAATAATTGTTTTACTTAAAAATGTTAAAAAATAATAATAATAATACATTAGATGTGTACACTTTTTAAAGTGTCTATTTACAGGAAGTGCAAATAGCTTTGTGGGCAAAGGCGTTCTACATTAACTCCACCTTAACTTACAAAAGAAGCCCATCCGGTAACAGGAGCAGGAGGAAAAAAAGAAAATGAAAAAAATATTCTAAAAATGGAAATACAACATGTGCATAAACATTCAAAACTGTCTCTCGTTTTCCAGAACTTCAAGGATTCTTTACTGATAAGCAGGTTCAGTATGGTTAGGGTTAGGAGTGGGTGTAGGAGTGGGCTTTAGGGTTTCATATGCACTGAATATGTTGCTATTATTGCATTGAACTACAGTACACTGAGGTACAAATTGTATTTAACACTATTTACACTTAAGGGCAAAGAAAATATGCTGTTTTCACTAAAAATACCCTCTGCTTTATGTATGACTTTTAAAAAGATTTTTTCCCCCGTATATGTATTTTGGACAGTCTTAATCTGTGTTCATACTGACATTGATTCAATTACTTGAGGTCGCAAGTCTCTGAGTGGTTTTCTAGTAGGTGGTCTGCCAGTAGCTCTGCCACATTATCTAAATGTATCAGGTGGTGGACCATTGGTAGTAGCCAATCATTTGCGTAAAGTTGAGCTCCGTCCAAATATGAAACATTGCCAATGTTGCAGGAGATTGCCAACTCATAGAAAAGGAAAAAAAAGCAAAAAACTAGCAGTGTCAACCCATTTTTATAGCAGTGTGGGAGTTATTAATGCAAAATAAAACATTAAAATAGAAAAATACAAACAAATATAATGTAAAAACATTTTTCTATTAAGATTAAAAACATTTTAGACTGAAACAAACTGTTGTAAAGTGACCAGTCTCAGCAATTTACATTTCCCAGAAACAAAATGTATTAACTTTATGTTTGGGTTGCTACAGGTTACTAAAGGTTATTTACTTGTCTGTTTGACAGATGGCACAGAACCCTCTCACATGCACAGTAAGGATGAAGGCAATTTTTTCCGTGGATATGAGTGGTGGCTTATGAAAGAAGCCAAGAAGAGAAATCCAAACATCAAGCTGATTGGTAATTGGTTTGTTCCACACTCCATTGGCCATTTATATACTGAAAGACAGAAATAATATAGAGACGATGACAGATATTTGACTTGATTCAAAGCTTTGATTTTGAAGGTCTTCCCTGGGCATTTCCGGGATGGGTTGGAGAAGGAACCCAATGGCCTTACTTCTTTCCAAATGTTACTGCCGACTATGTTGTTACATGGATCTACGGAGCAAAGCAGCATCATAACCTTGAAATTGATTATATTGGGGTATGTATGCACTAGCTAATAGTGCAAATAATTATGATGGTATGATGTTTTAGAGGGAAACTTTATTTGAACTTCTCTTTTTGATCTTTTTTTTCAGATATGGAATGAAAAAAAATATGATCCAGTATACATCAAGGTAAAAAAAAAAATTAGAGTAAATTCTGTAACAGCCTAACTGAATTGGCAATAAGATGTGTCTGTCTGTCATTTACCCAGGTGCTGAGAGATACTTTGGACCGAGTTGGTTATACAAATGTCGGCATCATTGCTGCAGATGGAGACTGGTCCATTGCAGCTGCCATGCTGGAGGATCCATATCTGAATGATGCTGTTGAGGTGATAGGGTAAGCAGTTTGCTTTCTTTGCCCTTAAAACCCATATAATTGACCAACTAGCTGAGCTATTAAAGGGTTAGTTTGTTAACAGGAGCAAAGGAAGCAAAGTTTCCTTACTTTTGCAAAGGAAAACCAGTCTCCTCTTGGCTTATATCGAAATCCTCCGACATTCTTCTTTACAAATCCTCGTTTTGTACTTCTAATTAGTGACCATTGTTTTGTTTTGATCTCTCCCCTGCGCTTCTGCGTTCGTCACTTCTGAGCTGCGCATGCGCAACACTGAACTCATACGTCATCCGCCCGGCGCTGCTTCAGTGTACATTTAACTGTACATTTAGTTTTATTTAACTTCTTTTGGACTGATGCACTGCAACACCCGCTGAGTGCCATGAAACAGCTTGAAAGATCAAAGACAATTTTTTATATAACTCCGACTGGATTCGTCTGAAAAAGTCATATACATCTAGGATGACTTGAGGGTGAGTAATTTGTGGGCAAATTTTCATTTTTGGGTGAACTAACCCTTTAAGTATTGTTAAGAGTTTAAAGTCTTTACAGTGTCCACTACCCAGGCACCAAAACAGTGAAGGAAGCTCTGTTAACAGAGAAGAAGCTTTGGTCCTCTGAAGATTACAGCACCTTCGATGACGACATCGGTGCCGGATGCTGGGCTCGTATCTTAAACCAGAACTACGTGAACGGCAGAATGACCTCGTGAGCTGTTTACAGACACCTGTCACTTTCTCTGCAATATACATACTTGTGCTAGTGTGCTCAGAGTAGGACTGCTTTGTTTCAGGACTATATCCTGGAATTTGATAGCAAGTTACTATGAGAATCTGTCCTTTGGTGGAGATGGGCTGATGACAGCTGATGAGCCCTGGAGTGGACATTATGTAGTGGAATCTCCAATATGGATGACTGGTAACATGTTCCTAACAGTCTGGCCAGTTTTGGGGTCAACCTTTCAAAGCTTCTATTTCAGTTTTTAGATTTTCTGAATTGCCCTACTGTTTTCAGATCATGTTAAAGGGGTCATAGGATGCTACATGCACTTTTACAAGTTGTTTGTACTGAAATGTGTGTTGGCAGTGTGTGTACACAACCACCCTATAATGATAAAAATCCACCCAGTGTTTTTTTTTAACCTACATTGTTTCACCGCCGGAGCAGATATAGACAAGAATGACTCCTGAGCGATTGAGGTGTTCTGTTGTTGGATGTAATAATGAACATAGCAGTCGTCATTTACTCCCGACATCTGAGCCGCTGAAAACGCAGTGGATTACGTTTGTTTTTGAAGGGAATGCGCCCCCGATCTACCTAAAAAACAGACAAAAAAGTCTGAATTTTATTAACTATGTTCGAGCGAATCATTCGTGATCCAGCCTCATCTACAGAAGAAGTGAGTATAATGTTTTGTAATGAATCTTTGCAAATCGCCTTTCCTAATAATGTGCTAATTAGCAAGTTTCACGATGAATGCGGCTAAAGTAAACCGTCTCTCATCTGTGAGAGCAGCTCGGAAGAGAGGGGCGGGGCCAGGAGAGCTCATTAACATTTAAAGGAAAATGCTACAAAACGGCTTGCTCTGAAAAGAGCTGTTTTTGACAGGCTAAAAAAGGTGTTTTTACACTACCATTGAGAAATTTTAACCAAACTATGTTACAGACTTTTCATTAAGACCCTAAAGAATCATATCAACTTGTGGAAAATGGGCATCCGATGACCCTTTTAAGATCATGCCTGGCAAAAAGTACTATTTTTCTTGATATACCAATTGCCAGGTATACAGGATTGTTGGCATGCCTTTTTTAGGCATCTAAATTACTGCCTCTTACCATCTCTGAATTAAATAGACTTTTATTAATTTCTTTAAACATTTTAAAGGAATAGTTCACCCCAAAACGAGAATTCTGTCTCCATTTACTCACCCTCATATCATTCCAAACGCGTAAGACTTTGTTCGTCTTCAAAACACAAATGAAGAAGTTCTTATTGAAACAAGAAATCTTATTGATATTTCTTTCCCTTCATTTAAAGTCCATTCTGACAAATCATTCAAGCTTCAAAAAGCATGAATTAAGCTGTTTAATACAAGCCTTCTTAAGAGATGCATTTGTTTTATATGATGAATACATTTAATTTAGGCTTTTTATTCACGCATAAAGATTGATCAATGCAAATACATCAAGCATATTAAATATGGTAAATGGTACCTCAACCATACATTCTTGATGGGTGAACAAACCTTATTGGTTCTCACGTGTCAAGCAAGCATGCTGGAATGAGAATGGTTGTTGTAGCCAATGAGCGAATGCAAGTTATTTCATGAGTGTTGATAAATTGTATTTCTTTTTCCTGCAGCACACACTACTCAATTTACACAGCCAGGCTGGTTTTATCTGCAGACTGTTGGGAATCTCACTCATGGAGGAAGTTATGTGGCTTTAACAGACCGTAAAGGGAACCTCACAGTTGTTATTCAAACCATGGTGGGTGCTTAGTTCTTATGTCTTGTGAATGTCACAAGTTTTAGTGAATCATTGATTTTGATCTCTATGCTTATTATGAACTCTCCTCTTTATAGACACACAATCACTCTCAATGCATTCGACCTCCTCTACCGCACTTTGACGTCTCCCCTCAGATAGCCACATTTCAGCTCAAAGGTTCTTTTGTAAGTGCAGTTCTGTCTGTACTTGATATTTCTATCTATTTATTTCTTAACCTTAAGGCTTAATATTATCTTGCTTGTGCTTTAATCTTTTTTCAGGCACATCTCACTGACCTTCAAGTGTGGTACTCAAAATTGGATTTTGAGACCAAAAAAGATACACTGTTTCAGCGGAGCAGTCCTATTAAGGTATTTTTCAATCAGTTCACTACATATTTCATGTCTCTACACACTGTGGAATGAATAGGCAGTAAAGGAACCTTCCCGTTTCCACACAGGTCTATAATGGTTCATTCACTTTAAAACTAGATGTCGATGAGGTTTACACAATCACAACAGTCAACACTGGACAAAGAGGGGCCTACCCAGAGCCCCCCAAATCCCGTCCATTTCCAAAGAATTACACTGATGACTTCACTATCGGTAATGGATATTAGTGTCAACAGGAAACTATTGGAAGCACTGACTCAACTGATGTTCATAACAGCATTCCTTCTCGTTCTCAGATAACCCTCCATTCTCTGAGGCCCCATATTTTGCTGATCAAACCGGTGTGTTTGAGTACTTCAGAAATAGCACAGATAATGGTTCGCATGCCTTTACCTTACGGCAGGTGGTCACCGAACGGCCGGTCACCTGGGCTAGAGATGCCGACCAGACCATCAGCATCATAGGGGACTACAGCTGGTATGTTTGTCCTCAGTATTGTGATATTTCCTGTGCCAGCAATATATGGGAGAACGTACATTTTGCAGAGATGTTTGAATCAATACTGCAGTATTACAGTAAATGGCATTCTGTCTCACAATTAATCGCATGTAACCAAAATTCACTACTTGTCAAACTAGGACAGACCTCAATGTGTCCTGTGACGTCCTAATTGAAACTCCCGTCACTGGAGGCGTGTTCCTGGCGGCCCGGATTGATCAAGGTGGAGAGTCCGTCAGAGAAGCAAAGGGTGTCTTTTATTGGATTTATGCAAATGGGACCTATAAAGTGACAAATGATATAGGTAACCATTTTATATTTCTGTTTCTTTGAAAACAGTTTGTTCATGTTTAGTTATATCATTATAAACAGGTAAAATACTACAGAAGCTAAAACAAAAATATCAGACATAAACTAGATCAGGGGTCACCAACCTTGATCCTGGAGGGCCGGGGTCCAGCACAACTGCCTGGAAGTTTCAAGTATACCTAGTGAGACCTTTATTAGTCGGTTCAGGTGTGTTTAATTAGGGTTGGAGCTAAACTCTGCAGGCCCTCCAGGACCGAGTCTGTCTGGTGGCCCCTGAACTAGATTATCAAAATCACAGCTTTGGGGCCGTTTACACGACAACGTTTTTAGCCAAAAACGGGAAACTTTTTATGCGTTTTGCCTGTTCGTGATCACGACAGTCAACACTGGACAAAGAGGCTCCTACCCAGAGCCCCCCAAATCCCGCCCTTTTCCAAAGAATTACTCTGATGACTTCACTGTCGGTAATGAATATTAGTGTCAACAGGAAACTACTGGAAACATTGACTCAACTGATGTTCATGGAAACATTACTTTTCATTCTCAGATAACCCTCCATTCTCCGAGGCCCCGTATTTTGCTGATCAAACCGGTGTGTTTGAGTACTTCAGAAATAGCACAGATAATGGTTCGCATGCCTTTACCTTACGGCAGGTGGTCACCGAACGGCCGGTCACCTGGGCTAGAGATGCCGACCAGACCATCAGCATCATAGGGGACTACAGCTGGTATGTTTGTCCTCAGTATTGTGATATTTCCTGTGCCAGCAATATATGGGAGAACGTACATTTTGCAGAGATGTTTGAATCAATACTGCAGTATTACAGTAAATGGCATTCTGTCTCACAATTAATCGCATGTAACCAAAATTCACTACTTGTCAAACTAGGACAGACCTCAATGTGTCCTGTGACGTCCTAATTGAAACTCCCGTCACTGGAGGCGTGTTCCTGGCGGCCCGGATTGATCAAGGTGGAGAGTCCGTCAGAGAAGCAAAGGGTGTCTTTTATTGGATTTATGCAAATGGGACCTATAAAGTGACAAATGATATAGGTAACCATTTTATATTTCTGTTTCTTTGAAAACAGTTTGTTCATGTTTAGTTATATCATTATAAACAGGTAAAATACTACAGAAGCTAAAACAAAAATATCAGACATAAACTAGATCAGGGGTCACCAACCTTGATCCTGGAGGGCCGGGGTCCAGCACAACTGCCTGGAAGTTTCAAGTATACCTAGTGAGACCTTTATTAGTCGGTTCAGGTGTGTTTAATTAGGGTTGGAGCTAAACTCTGCAGGCCCTCCAGGACCGAGTCTGTCTGGTGGCCCCTGAACTAGATTATCAAAATCACAGCTTTGGGGCCGTTTACACGACAACGTTTTTAGCCAAAAACGGGAAACTTTTTATGCGTTTTGCCTGTTCGTTTACACGACAACTGCGTTTTGGGGACTGAAAACGCATATTTTTGAAAACGAGTTTCAAAGTGCAAGTTTTTGAAAACGGCACCGTTGTCATTTCCATGTAAACACCCAAAACGGGAATCTTTAAAAAAACGGTGACATCATGCGCGTGCGCAGTACGTGTTAGGTATGTAGACATGCGCAGTACGTGCCGATTTTAAAGGCAAGCACGAACAAACATACACAACAATGGCCGGAGTATATGGTACTGTTGTTGCTGCTCAAGAGTTTGCTAACGCTTCTTCAGTAAAGTGTGGATTTACTTCACCAATATATATCATATACACACGGCAACAGGTACTGTTTACTAACAAGGTGACAGCGCCAACTACTGGCCTGGCATACGTAATACAACGTTTTTGACTGTTTTCACGGATATGTGCAAACGCGAATTGTTCTGAAAACGTTATCGTGTATACGTGAAACTTTTTAAAACACAAGGGAAAAACTTTTCAGTTTTTGACCACATCGTTGTCATGTAAACGTAGTAGTTTTAAAAATATTTTCTATCTAATCCTTTTTCTGAGTCATTGAATGCCTTTCAATTTTACAGTAGTCAGGCATTTTAGTTTTAATCCCTGGTTATAAAATAAATAGCTTTTTTCATGCATGGCCTTTTGGACAATCCTATGCGCAATTCTTGCTCCGCGCAGCTGTGCATAACTAGGGTGTCTATGGCAGCCCACTGATATTGTTCAAATGAAGAAATCTGGCACACTGATTTGATAGAATCTGAGCATTCCTGGCGCCTAATTTGTGCTTCTAATAATAACGTTGAACTGACTGACCGGGGCTGGGTTTCCCAAAAGCACCATAAGACTAAAAGCCCCAAAATACTTCAAGCAAAAATGAAGAATGAATGGGTGGGATGTCATTTCGAACTAAACCTGGCCAAGACGGAGTTTGTTTTGGTGCTTTGAAGCTACTCGCCATCTACATGACCATGTAATGGGTATGCGCTGGGCATTTACGGTGCTATATGAAATTCTTTTTTATCTGATTCCAATCTTAATTTTGTTTTAATTTTAGTACATACCTCAATGAACTATTTTTATTGTATTATGACTAATCTTTCTTCACATTAAAGGTGGACAGAGAGTTCTTGCTGAAGGGCTGTCAGGAACAAGGGAAGGTGTATGGTATACCTTAACCCTTAGAGTCAAGGTAACATATACATATATACATTAAATGGTAGCTTTTTAACTATCAATTGTCTTTGTTCTTAAATGGGCATGTTTTGGTCTGCAGGGATATTTTGCCACCGGGATGCTGAATGGCTATCCGCTGTGGAAGAACGCTGTTGTTCTTGAACCCAAGAATGGCTGGACTGCACTAGGAACTCTCTCTTTTGAATATGCACAGTTTGATAATTTTGAAGTGAATGCAGAATAATATCTGCCTACTTCACATCAATCATGTTTACATGATCATTAGATTACACACTTTTGCTGCTTACACACCTTTCAATCGTTTCCTAATGTCTTTTTTAATGCAAAAAAAAACATACTGTGATGGATGTCTTATTTAATTTAATTTGATGATTGGTCTTTTTTACTGATTTTATTTTATTTTTTTACTTTCTCTTTGGGGTTTATGATTAAGGAGTGTAAGTGTGAAGTGTTTATCTTCTTCAAAAAGGGATGCTTTGTGCCAATTACTGTAACTGGGCTGTTTGTGAAAGAAGTGTATGAAAGACAAACTACCAGTTTGGACATATTTGATGGAGTTAATGTTTTATATGAAATTGTTTAATAATAAACAGAACTAAAATTGTGGGAAATATTGAATGAATAGAAATGACTTCTTCAATACTGTTTAAGTGCATAGAGACATTGATTTTTCAAAAAGTATCTTCAACCTAAGACTGCAAATATCATGCATAACTTAAAAAAAAAAAAGATGACTGATTCTTAATGATCTTTAATCATGAATGAGCATTTATCATGTAACAAGCACATACCTGCTCAGTGCTGACTTCCCCTATTTCTGAAATAAAAGCTTACATGCAATACTCTTTCCAATGCTCCTCTTTAAACAATTTGCAAATTAAAGCAGATCATAGAAATAAGATACAGTGATGACACTGGGAATACATTTTAATGACATAAAAATATTACTGAAATGTGTTTTTAGACTCCAGTCCTGGTGCTTCCTGGAGACCCTCACCAAATGAATAGCTCTGAATGATATATTCAGACTTGCACGAACTGTCATAACAATTATTAGGTTTTCTGGATTGTTGGCTGATAAAATTATAAAAATAATGAATTACAAATCAAAGAGAAAACGTATTTACTAAATATGGAGTCAGAAATTACACTCGGAGCTTTGTTAATGGATCAGTGGATTTAAAGAAAAAGAAGAAACTATTATATATTTGTATAAAGGAATATCCACAAAAAACAAACAACAACAACAACAACAACAACAAAAAAACTTACAGGCCACACTTAAATTGCTGCACTAAACATTGCAACATGCATTACACATCTCCAAACTCAATTAAAACAGAAACTATTACATATAATTATTAAGAGTATCCTAAACAATCCTTAAATTAGGTTAGTTGTGAAATATCTTAAAATAAGTCAATTGGGTCTTGTTTTCTGGCTATGAATTTAATTTGACTTACAAAAAAAAAAAATTTTAATGAACATGTCGATTACATTTATTTAAAAACATGTACTTCGTATGACACAATTGTTTTAGGACGCTGTGGAGCCAATAATTAAAATGTTTTAAAAAATATTTTCATAATAATAATAATAATTTAAAAATAGCATAAGCATTTCTTTAAGAAGCGTTGATCGCGAGATTAGCGCGCAGCATGATCTCCATAACAACCAAAAGACAAACATGGCCAACCACAGCGAGAGCCGCACCAGACGAGTCTTTCTCAACAACATCGACTCATATTCGTCCAAATATATCGCCCAGGTAATAGAGACTAACGTTACTAGTCCGTTACATGAATTGCATTAATATCATAAACGGCGTGGTTTAATGTTGCGTTGTTCAGTTCTTGTCCTCATGTGTCGTGGGAGAGTTGCTTAATGATGGAGAGGAGGAGGACAAACACGAACTCTCTTCAGAAGCCACGCGCTTTCAGATAGTCGGAACAGTTGCGAATAAAGAAGCAAAAAAACTACGTTTCGCATCTGATGAATATCGGGTTAGTTTATCATTTATCATTTCTTTTGTATTATTGGTGTGTGTTTTTAATTTCTGAACTAAAATTAATTTAGATATTTTTGGAAGCGTAACACTGAAGAAAAATCATTTAAAGAATGAAGGCTAGTTTTGGAATCTTTTATGTATTTATGTTTATTATTTAACGTTAGTAGAAAATAAGAATTATAAAACATGTTATGTTAGAATCATTATTATACTCTTATACCTTTTGTTCTTTTAATATTTTGAATTGTTTTTAGCTTTATTTTTTTGTTTTCATTTAAATGTTTAGTTTTGAAATGTTGTTGTATGCATTTGTCATTTTTATTTAATTTCTTTTATTTTCTTAAATGTGTATATATATAATATTTATAGAGTTTTAGCTTTTAGTTTTAATTACTTTTTCTTATGTGTAAGCCCCTTTGGATAAAAGCGTCTGCTAAATGACAAAGTAAAGTAAAGCAAAGTAAAGTAAGTTTTAAATTGCTGCACTAAACATTGCAACATGCATTACACATCTCCAAACTCAATTAAAACAGAAACTATTACATATAATTATTAAGAGTATCCTAAACAATCCTTAAATTAGGTTAGTTGTGAAATATCTTAAAATAAGTCAATTGGGTCTTGTTTTCTGGCTATGAATTTAATTTGACTTACAAAAAAAAAAATGTCGATTACATTTATTTAAAAACATGTACTTCGTATGACACAATTGTTTTAGGACGCTGTGGAGCCAATAATTAAAATGTTTTAAAAAATATTTTCATAATAAGAATAATAATAATTTAAAAATAGCATAAGCATTTCTTTAAGAAGCGTTGATCGCGAGATTAGCGCGCAGCATGATCTCCATAACAACCAAAAGACAAACATGGCCAACCACAGCGAGAGCCGCACCAGACGAGTCTTTCTCAACAACATCGACTCATATTCGTCCAAATATATCGCCCAGGTAATAGAGACTAACGTTACTAGTCCGTTACATGAATTGCATTAATATCATAAACGGCGTGGTTTAATGTTGCGTTGTTCAGTTCTTGTCCTCATGTGTCGTGGGAGAGTTGCTTAATGATGGAGAGGAGGAGGACAAACACGAGCTCTCTTCAGAAGCCACGCGCTGTCAGATAGTCGGAACAGTTGCGAATAAAGAAGCAAAAAAACTACGTTTCGCATCTGATGAATATCGGGTTAGTTTATCATTTATCATTTCTTTTGTATTATTGGTGTGTGTTTTTAATTTCTGAACTAAAATTAATTTTGATATTTTTGGAAGCGTAACACTGAAGAAAAATCATTTAAAGAATGAAGGCTAGTTTTGGAATCTTTTATGTATTTATGTTTATTATTTAACGTTAGTAGAAAATAAGAATTATAAAACATGTTATGTTAGAATCATTATTATACTCTTATACCTTTTGTTCTTTTAATATTTTGAATTGTTTTTAGCTTTATTAACAATTATTAATATTTGAAAAACTTTTGTCCACCAAATCAAAGTCATGTGGTGCAACCAACATGCAGAAAAAGAAATCAGTAAACAAAAAATTATAGCATAGAATACCCTGCAGACCATGACTGCGTATCAAGGTCAATAAGTCTTTATAATATAATATAATATACAATAATGTCACATTTTATGACAAGGAAACAATCTTTTTTATGTTATTGACCCTGGTAACAAGTCTTAAAACTTAAGAGATCTAGCTCATTACATCTCATCTCATCATATTTCAGTCTCTGAGTCGAGAGGAGCTCCTGCAGTGTCTGATGCAGTGTGATGTTATTGTGTATAATATCACTGAACACAATGATCTCATAGATGAGGCAACATGGGCCATTTCAGGTAATAATTCCTCAAATTTCCAGACTACTTATGGCTGTATCTCAAGTGAGACACATTCAGACCAAAAATGGCAGCTTGCTAGGTTTTGGGGCACGGTCTTAATGCCATTTCATTTCTTGTCAGTTTTTTTCTTTATTCAAAACAAATCTGTCATACTGTATTACCATAGCTCTGCACTCTGAAATTGAACATTTTGGGTCTCCAAAAATGTTCATCCTGCTGTCAACGATCATGACGTGGGCAATGACCAAACCAGCTGATCCTGTGAGTGTTGCTTTTAAACATACAGTGAGGTCCACTTAGAGACCACACTGAAAATCCTTTTTTTTTTTTAATTCAGTTTTAGGATTTGAAAAATGTAAAACAAAAAGCTAGAGATACATTTTTAAATTTTAAATTCTAATTTTTTTCAGTTCAGCTCATCGCTTAAAAATCATTATGCTGATATTATCAATAGGAATGCAAAAGATTTGTATTAGAAAATAATACAAAGTAGAAACATTTTACTAGTTGTCTCGGACTATTACAGTGACCAGACATCATGCTCTTGTTACATTTTCTGATTTTGTCTTAAGGATGAGCCTGACATCCCCTTGACTGAAGATGACTACAAAAGAAGAAGACCACATCCAAACTTTAAGGAACACACCAGCACAGAGAAACTAGTGCTTAAACTGGGGAAGACCGTAATAATCAATCCAGAATCAGAAAACATTTCATATCATTTATTATATGAAACAAACTTAGCATAGCTTAACATATGCAACAAACTTCATGTTTTTGTTTTTTTCTCAGAAAAAGTCAAAGCTGGCTACTTATGTTGTAACATCAGGACTGCAGTATGGCATGGGCGAGAACATCTTCCACTTCTTCTTTAAAGTACTGAAATACTATATACCAGAGCAGTCTATATGAATTTAAAATTAAATTTAAAGGAATAGTTCACCCAGAAATGAAAATTTGCTTAAAACCTACTCACTCAGGTGATCCATGATGTAGATGAGTTTGTTTCTTCATCAAAACAGATTTGCAGAAATGTATTAAATCACTTGCTCACCAAATGGACCCTCTGTGATGAATGGGTGCCGTCAGAATGAGAGTCCAAACAGTTGATAAAAACATCACAATAATCCACAAGTAATACACACAACTCCAATCTATCAATTAACATCTTGTGAAGAAAAATCTGCGTGTTTGTACTTAACAAATCCACAATTAAGATGATTTTAGCCAAAAATACAATCTCTCTATCCATAATGTTGCTTTAGCCAGTGAAAAAGTTGAATCGGGAGAAAAATATGCTCAAATCAAGCACCAAAAACAGTCCAAAATAATTCTAAACAAATATATCTGTGAATTTTGATGTAAGAAGACAACATTGGATGTACGTTTTTACAGGAGGAAGCATTATTATGGATTATGGAATGTATTTAACTTTATATATTTTGGCCAGAAGCGAGGGTTTGAATTGAAAACACCTTGATGGATTTGTTTCTTGCAAACATGCAGCTTTTCACTATGCAGACGTTAATTGATGAACTGGAATTATGTGGATTATTGTGATGTTTTCATCAGCTGTTTGGACTCTCGTTCTGACGGCACCCATTCACTGCAGAGGATCCATTGGTGAGCAAGTGATGTAATGCTACATTTCTCCAAACTGTACATTTCGATGAAGAAAGAAACTCATTTACATCTTGGCCTGGGGTTTAGTACATTTGAACCAAATTTTAATTTTTGGGTGAACTATTTAATTTAAAACGTCTTAATTTTCCTCAAGACAGCTTGGCTCGGAGAGCTTAGCAGCGTTCCTGTTTTTGGGCCTGGGACAAATGTCATTCCTACCATTCACATCCACGACCTTGCTAGGTTTGAAAAATTGCTGTTGATTGATTGGTGTTTTTTTCTTTTAACTTTGTTTCATTTTCATCCTATATTTTGTCATCATTTGCCATTTTTAGAGTGGTCCAAAACATCATTGATCGCAAACCA